TAAAAAAATATTTTTGAGAATGTCATCTAAAAAGGCAACCAGACCGCACTATTAAAAATTCGTGATCGAAAAAAGTGCATCGAAGACTCACCCTAACGGGCATCCGGTCCTCGGCGCCAAGGCCGCCCTGGGGCAGCAGCTGCCGGAGGGGACGCTGCTGCGCGCCGCTGTCCAGCTCGGCGACCTCCAGCACCAGTGCCAGGACGAGGAGGCCCTGAAGGCCGTCGCCCTGCTGACCGTCGAGACGTGGCACCTGACCTTGCAGGGCGGGGGGCGAGCGCTGACGGGCACCCTGGAGAACAACGGGGACCCGCTCATCAAGGCCCTGTTGCTCGTGGCCGCGGCGAGGGCGGCTCTCTCCGAGCAGGGACAGGCTCCTCCACCACGACGCCCACCTCGAGTCGAGCAGGCATCGCATTCTACACCTGCAACCCTTAACTTGCCACCCGCTGGTGCAAGTGCGGCGGAGAGCGTCGCCCTGCGAGAAATAGACGCGGGCGAGATCACCAGTGATGCGCAAACTTCCGCTGTTTTCGGTGACAAGCCACCAAAAGTGGAGCGCGATCGTATTCTGCAGAACGTGCGAGGGGTGAGTCCGCCTACAATTTTTTAAAATACGTGAGGATAGTAGCAGGTGGCTATTACATACCGGTTATTCACGGTACACTGGAAACGCAAGTGTGTGAATGTCGCACACTTGCAGGTGTGTGAATGTTTATTCGTACACTTTTCCTAGAAAATTCACACGTTTACCCCCGTAAGTGTACGAACGGGTGTTCACACACGTGCAATTGTGCGACATTCACCCACTTGGGTTTTCAGTGTAAGATATGACCTGGACATACCGTACGTTGGGCTGCCTTTACACTGGCGGCAGGCGTGGGAGAGGGAGTGGCAGCTCCCCCCACAATTCCCCCGCACTGAGAAAAATATTTCTGTCCGGGCACTAAACGTACGTCTAATGCTCCCGACTCATATGTCCCAGCTCAAAATGAGATAGTGACCTGTCATTGAGTTTTAGTGCTGTGCTCTAAATTTTCTTTGCCTGAGATGCTACGTTTAGCTCCCAGCGCTAGACGTATAGTGCAACGAAAAAACGTCGATCTGGGGACTAAACGTATAGTGCTGAGACAGATTTTTTTTTCTCAGTGCGCTACCTACTGCATTTCGCCATCCTTTGGATTTGTCTCTCTGACTGGTCTGCTCTGTTGCAGGTGGATCAGCTGGTCCATGTGTGGTGCCACACCGACCCGGCGTGGAGCCTCAAGCTGCTGGAGTGCGCCGCCCCCACGGTGAAGCAGCTCAGCCTGCGCTGCCCGGGCGAGGCTCACCTGCGCGCGGTGCTGGCCATGCCGCGGCTGAGGAGGCTGAAGGTGTCGGGCGACCACATGGACCTGGACGCCCAGCCACCCGCTCTCCCGCGGGCGAGCCGCGGCCTGCAGTCGCTCAGGGCGATTGACCTCTCGCGCGCCAACCTGCAGCGCCTCCTGAGGGCCTACGGGGACCAGCTGGACGAGCTGTGGCTACACGTGGGCGCGGGCGGGCAGTGCAAGTGGCCCTGGAGCTGCAGCGACCTGGACACGCTGCTGGAGCGGTGCGGCCTGCGCCTGAGGAGGCTCGTGCTGCGGCGGTGGGGCTACAACCACGACAACTGCAACCATCAGCGCGACGCGGTGCGGCGAGTGCTGGGCGGCACCGAGGTACTGTGCTGGGAGTGCGACGATGTGGAGGAGGACGACTTGTAGCGGCGCACATGGCGACCAGAGCTGTCAGACTGATATACACCCAAAAAAATGTGTTCTCAATTCAAGAACATCCCCAAAATATTAAGAGATTTAAGGCAAATAGGGATTATTTTAATCCCTGTTTACTTGATTTAAGTGTAAATAGGGGTTAAAATAACAACATTTGCCTTAAAGTTTTCGGGATGATCTTGAATTGAGAACACTTTTTTTTTTGGTGTAGCTAACCCCTTTGGAGGGAGGAACCCTTCGCGCGTGAACCCACTTGGTCGCTATTACTTGGCTGCCTTTACAAAAATGTAATTGTTCTTGCTCATAAATCAACTGCTAAACCTAAATAAACTTTCTTGTTTGTAATATATAGTTGGACTTTCTGAACTATTTTTCATAAAATAAATTTCCCCGCAAACGGCGTATCTCTGTGAGGAAGGCTCGGGCGCGCGAAGGCTGTTGGGAGCAGCTTGTAAGGCGGAAAGGAGAAAGATTCGGTTGCCGCGGGAGGCTGCTGGAAACGACGCGTCTGTGTTTCGGCCGCGCGACACACATTAACGTTTGAAGCACTACTCTAGAAACCCAAGTGTGTACATGTATGCGTTATTTACTGAATACCTACATGTATGCAGAAAATACTGCATACATGATTATGTATGCAGCAAATAGTGTGTACATGACCATGTATGCAGCAAATACTGCATACATGGCCAGGTACACACATCGGCACATAGCTTTTGGCATAGAGCTCTACGTGTGTACATGGCCATGTATTCAGTATTTGCTGCATACATGGTCATGTACACACTATTTGCTGCATACATGTAGGTATTCAGCAAATAACGCATACATGTACGCACTTGCGTTTCCAGAGTAGGAAAATTCATGCGGTCGCACAGTTTACCTACGACTGTGCGTGGGTCGCCTACTCGCACGGGGCCGTAATAAGGAGCCGTGGGCAGCGAAGATAGGCAAGCTCGACCACCGCCCCCGTGCAAGCGGTACAGTACCGTAACCGTAACCGAAAGTGCGCGTGAGTGAGTCAGCCACCTGGTACGATAGATGGTTGGTGCAAATGACCACAACGTTTAAAAAGTGATACAACTTCGAGTTTTCTATAGCACTTCAAACTTTTCCACACTGGTAAACCAAGTGTGCAACAGCAAGTTTAAAACTTGCAAGTGTTTGACTCAGTAGTACTCCACTTGCAAGTGTGCAACTCGGTAGTTGTGCACTTGTAAGTGTTCAACAGAAGAGTTGCACTCCAACAAGTGTTGAGCAGATGCTCAGTTGGTTCATCAGTACTGATGATGACTTGGTGTAAGTCGCGCGGTAGAATCGTAGATGATCCGTGTGTATAGCAGCCAAGGATCCCCTACCAAAACCAAACAGTCAGAAGAGTAGGGTGTCAGAAGTAGGCGGTAGATATCATCGCCCGCAGAACATGAGGGACACTTGCGTGCATGTGTCGCAGCTAGTGGCCGGGTGCTGCTAGCGCCTGCAGCGGGTGGGATCGGCCAACCCGCCGAGCAGCCGAGCGTGGCCGGCGGACCACCCTGTGCAAGGCAGGGGCTCTGGCGGGATGCGCATTTTAGGCACATTTTAGATTGAACATACTGGGTGGCTGATTCGCGCCGGGCACTTTTCGGGCGGGTTTGCCTGCTCGCTGCCCACGGCTCCTTATGGCCCGATGCGAGTAGGCAATCCGCCCGCACGCGTGTATCCGGTACAGCACTACCAAAGTGCGCGGCGTGAATCAGCCACCTGGTATAATGCAGCCATGATGCAGTTTTGATGGATTTGCTACCTGGTCGTCAAAAGTGGCGTTTATACTTATTTACTTGCGCAATTTTGCCCTGAAAATTTCTTGCAGTGTAAGATTTCAGTGTGTATTCCTCGTAGGCTGCATCCATGCTTTTGTAGTGCTTCGAAGCTTCCGTATCCTTTGCAGACAACAGTGTCTGAAAATCGACCACTACCAGTGCAACAGTGCACATGAGCCAGAGAGGACATAGGGTTCGAATGACAATAAATGAATTGCCTTGTAGCTAACAGTATTTAATATATTTAAAAGACTAAGGTTGCCTATATTCCACCTTGAAATACTACAAACAATACCATTATTTTTGCAAGATTAACTATTGTAAAATACATTGAGAAAAAGAAATTTTATTTTCAGAGCACATCTATCACTAAACAAATGCTTTTCGGCTGAACAAACTCCCGGCGACACTTAAAACTAGTTTCTAGTCATTTAGTCATTAGACGGTATCATGGCCGATTATAGCTCTACAATTCGACCCCTTTCACTTCATCCTAATATCACTCCAGTTACTAACCCACTGTTTGTGATTTTTTAATTTCATACATACATTCATACAAACAAAATAAAAATAACAACTTCAGTATTTATTTGTAACTTGCCTCACAAAAAAGCCTTTAATGGAGTCAGTAACCGTTGGAGTGATAAGAGGCCGCGCTGCGAATGTCCGATGATGGCAGGTCATCTGTTCCTGCGATATCATGTTACAATGTAAAATAATTAAAAGCTTATCAACCATATTTGTAAGATCGTCCTCAAAACTTTTTCAAAATGTTCTCTTCCTGACATGCCTATAGATGATTACAAATTAGACCAACTGTCCACTAATGAGGCCCTCTGACAAAGCGTTAGTAACATTTGTTCAAATCAGCAACCAGCCAATGCCCTAAAAAAATTTCAAACCCGCCTTTGATTCACAAAAATCTTGAATATACGAGACGTAGTAACGGACAAGATTACTGTAAAGATACCTGTAAATGGTAACTTTTATCTCTTCAAAAATAAGATTGAACAACAATATAGGCAATAGGCCAGTCATCGTAACATGAATCACACTTATTTGTCTATATAACGATCATTACATTTTCACACAAAGTGAAGTCCTCCTTCGAAAATTAATAAACGAACAATAATCTAAAATGGCAATATCAACAATTACATTTGGTTCATTAGCTTTAAGTCGTCACAAACCGAAGTACAAACACAATACATGTAGGCCATCTTACAAAATAAATTAGTTACGCATCGCGACAAAGAACAACTATATGATACAACAATATAAAAAGTATAATGCCCCAACTACCCGAAGCTGCGCTATCTTCCGAGACGCGGCGAAAGGTCATTCAAATCACTTTACTTGCCCTTCACTTCGATCAACATACATATTTACACCATTAACTAGGTCACCTATGGTACAAACTCCCTTCACGGTGGCTGCCTAAACAAAGTATGGGCTTTGGTCTAACTCTACAGAGCTGTTGTTGATCTTCCGATTAATACAATGAGATCAATGACTTTGATGTCGAGCAAACGTGTAAAATTAAAGATTGCCGTGCATGACATGGCATGATCGCGAGCAAAGTATTTCTGCCACTATTTGATGCTTAACAATCACCGGAAAATAAAGTAATTTGGAGCACGTCGATGCCTCTCTCCACACGTATCACACAAAGGCACTTGGCTACGCGAAAAATAATATCAAAATGTAATAAGAAGTTGTTCAAGTATTTGTGCATTTAAAAAGTGATGACGATCCTTAAAATCTAGTACAGTATTTTTTATGGATGAAAAACGGAAACATGGCGAAGCAAATATATGTTTACATTAAAATCATTCTCAACCAGTGACCACACCCTTAAAACGTTTCAACTAGATCAGCACATCGATACCTATTAGCAGCCAAGACAACAACAGAATTTATTTCAATGATATGCTCCTAAGTCTGGCGGAAAACCATTGGCAACTGGAGCACGGGTCCATGGAGCAGTTCTGTCCACGGTGGACAGTCCGACCCCACTCGGCTGCTCACTCACCAAGGTTCTGCCATAGCACCAATCCACTTGGACTTACATGCGGCTTCACGCGACTGCCAAGTGTCAAAAATTAACTATAACACGTTTTGTCAAAAAGAACTTAAATACTTGCAACACTTTAAAAAAATTTCCTAGTTTAAATTAAATATTGTCACCGCCCTCCCCGTGCATAGGATGTATTGAAGCACCAAAATACCACACAAACCTCCACAACCAAACATATGAACACACAGAGACCATTCGTCAGGTGCTACATCTTCCTCCCACACACTCACTGTGCCGCTGAACTGACCTGTCCCACTCTGCAGCACTGTCGAATGGGTTCCCTACCCGGAGCCCGGCAGGCGCTGGTCTCCTTCTCTAGATCGCACCGCTCTTACACAATCGCAAGTCACATTTGGCAAGTGAGTGACAACCCTCCAGAACGTGAACGAATTTTCATTCAGAATCAGGCTGACAAAGTGAAGTTGTAAAACATGCAAATTATTCATAGCCCTGGTTCCACCGCAAGTTCCGTTACATTCTTCCGTGCCTACTACGACCACCGAAAATGTTATACCTTGTTCTCCTAGAGAATTATTACCCGTATATCTCTACTGACTCCAGCAATGACAGTGTGCACGTCAATAATTTAGGAAACTAGTTTGGAATCTAATGATTTACGTGAGTGCACTACGACATGCGCAGCTTGTCTTCACTGATGCTTTTTGTTCTATATCACGCTATACTTACAAGTCAAAAGCACCGATGAGATTTCATTTAAAAACAAAAGAATTCACAAGTTTGTGGCTCCCGTCTCAAGTAACACAGTTCTTGACGAAAACAGCCAGGACGGCAGTTTCATATCTTCACACATTCCATAATGACGTTGTGAGCCGGGACTTTATTAAAAAGGGCACACATTTCATCGTTGTCGATTCTGATTCAGCCAAAAAAAAGTTTGCTTTTATGTAGAAGAGCGTTAACGTGATAGCCATGAAGTCACATCAAGGTTCACGGTTTGATGCAGTTTCATTTTGAGTGCAATGAGGCATTTACTGTAAAAAATCTATAAAGCATTGCTTTGAATTACAAAGGATTTTCTTTGTAAGCTACAAAGAAACAGATGCACTGTGTTACAAAGGACCGGCTTCGTAGCTTGCAAAGCACTGATTTGTAATACGAAACATATTTCTTTGGAAGAAAAATACTGGTACTTCGCAATACAAAGCATTGCTTTGTCATACAAAGAAATCAGACTCCTTGTAAGTTTACAAAGAAAATGCTTTCTAAGATTTTGACAGTTAAACACAGAATTAAAAGAACCTCGCATGGAATATTGTCTGTAGAGAGTTCATTACTTGTGCATTTTCAACTTTCAGCGCGATGACTGCTTAATTGCTTAAAAATAGACTCGTAGGGCGACTATTGACAGTTCCACAGAGGGAATCCGAAGTGATATAAATTGCAATCGCAGTAAGGCAGACATTCCAGAAGAAAATTTTCTTACAAACTAGATAAGATGGGTTAATATATGCATTAATATTACACACATGGTATAATGATAAATGTAGAATGGTATTGTGTTATTAATATTCATAAGGTCGATAAGAAAGCGAAATAACGAATAAAGTTATCTATACTAAAGACAAACATGAAGTTTGTAGGAAATAATATAGAGCTACTTGTCAATTTTATTATAAGAGAGAGGTATCAAATCCTAACAGAACCTTGCCAAGACTTCTACTCCAAGTAAGATTCACGCGGTCAAAGCCCGACTAATGGACGTCGCGTTTCTCGTTGACAGAGTCAACCTGCCCTCCACATACGACTTGAGCAGGTCGTCGTCTCCGCGTTGTCTTCTCCGTTCGACTTATGTTCTGGCGCCGCGCACGAACGCCAGCGTGGCACAGATCGAGAAGCAGCGCGGACGAGATAGGAAACGGCAATCGACCCGTGTGAGGGGGTTGCACGTCGTTCACAAGAGGGCGCTGTGGACGCCACCCTCGCCCATTGGTTACGGGGGAAAACAATGAATGAATAAAAGTGACAACCAGAGGACATACGTGCGTAACTTGCACCTACGAAACAACACACGCGGCTACCGCTAGAATACACTCATATAAATACTTCAAAACGTGCGAACTATACAGAGGTAATAATAACTGTGCTCACGCGCAAAGCCACCCTAGCTTCTTCCCAAAGTTATAGTAAGTAAATAACGACGATATTAATGTTAGTAACGATAACAGTAGTAATACGATAAAGGAACGGCTGCCTTATTGCTGTCAGCTGGCGAGCAGCGAAGCAGGTCTCCCGAGGAGCCGCCCGGCGGCCATCGCCCCGCTTCGTGAGGGCATGCCGAGCAAGGGCTCAGGTTTGTCGGCGCCCTGGCAAAGCGCGCTCCGGCCGCCGAGCTCCGCGGCTCCACAGCTTCACTGCTGGCCTAGCTTTGAGGGAACGGTGAGGGGACATTGAGCGAAACAGAAACGACACATTTGCAAAATTTGATGTGAGACGAAATACTCCTCGGACAAACCAGCATAGTCCCTAGGAATGAGAGGGGAAGTTTTATCGGACGTCAAGCAAGTCACCGATGTGGTTAAGTGTTGCCTCCATTAGCAGTCATCGTGCTTCTAAAAAGACTCCATCAGCGCTGAATTTTCAATCTACTTTCTCAACCACTGTCTTCAGGTTAGATACGAAGCCAAAAGCGAAACGCCAACCCGCTTTTCTTCCACATATGTCTATGAACTCTCCTTTAACTCGTTAACCATTGGCAAACAAAATTCTTTAGAAAAACTCCTTTAAAACTGCACAAAAACGCTTTAAGATGGTGACCACGTTAACTCCGTGATAACGGGGTAACATTCTCTTGCTCTCACAGAACGGCTCTGTGTTACTTGATTGTTCACAGCATTGTGTACGTAAATAACTTTCACAACCAATCCTTTGAAACATTTAAAAAGGTACATAAGTCCAACTTACATATAAAAGAATCAATAACTTTAAAGGCCAAATGTGTTACAAGTATCCAAAATGGGAGTATTTCTTAGTAAACGGCTCGTCCACCTTGCAGTCCTCTCTGCAACGGAAACAATACGCAACGTTAGCCACCACAGTGTTTACCGTGCAAATGCCAAAGGCGCCAAAGGCATGCCAAACGGAACCAACTCAACTTACTGATCCTCCCAGGGACAGATCTCGTTGACCTTGCCTTCCTGCGAGGAGCCTCGCTCAACAGAGGCCCTCTCCTCGCTCTTGGTGGCTGCGAGCGGAGGCGGCAGCGGCTTTACCACCGTGGTGGGCGTCGTGGTGCTGGAGGGCCCTGGGGTGCCCCCGGGAGGCTCTGAGGCGGCCGAGGTGGAGGGCCCCGCCGGGGTGGGGGCCACGGAAGGCACCGCGGAGGGCGCCGCGGAGGGCACCACCACCGACGAGGGCCCCGCCGACGGGGAGGGCGGCGCCGTGCCCTCGTCCTCTTGCTGGGCGAGCGGTGCGACCAGGCCGGCATCCTGGCCGTCGGCAGGCGGCACGGGCGACTCCGTCTCC